ATACAAAGATCAACACAAGATTCTTTCTGTCAGACATATATTCTCAGAAGGAAATGCATAGTACGCATAAAATATTTATGATCATTTTGTACATTGTAACTATATCTATGTAAAAGCCAAAATAAATATCAAGTGTTCCAGCTATACAATATACAGTGCCTGATGTGTTTATTGCCACATTTTCTATGACCAGTCTCCTGTCTGTTGTGTTTCTCCAGTGACTGTGTTATTCCAGGGAAATGAGTAACACAAGGGGAGGAGGGTTCATAATGGCTTCGGCACTGTAGGGGGTTGTCTGAACTAACACATGGATCATGCTCTACATCTCTTGGATCTGTGTTGAATCCGTGTTCGTGGTGCTTTGTGCAGAAAATATGTAGAGGGTGAACTACTCAGCTTTCCTTGAAAGACAAATCAGTGTCTATCACAGGCACTTCACACTTTTCATTTCATAGCTTTTGGTTATCGATGAAATGCTGAAGACAAGTATTTGTCCTCTTTAAGGAGTTCCAAAGCCAAAATGGTTCTGGTTTAATCTGTGTTATTCTGCAAGAACTGTTAGCTGGATTRCATTCTTTTTCTCCCTATGCAATGAGTAGATGAAGTATGGGAACCCTTGCAGAACTAAAGAGACCTATAATCCTCTGCTGCTGAAACCTCAGACTTTCACATTTTGCCAGATGGATTGTGAAAATTRTAACACATTTTAATTGTCGAAGTCATGCTATTCTTAAGTCATGTATGATTATTGACACAAGATTTGTGTATGATGGAACAGTGCAACAAAGGATAAAGGAACTTGAAATAACCACCACTCACCAAAATGTTTGAAGAGATGTATGTGAGGATTCCCAGTCTGAAATTTTAAGTGTGAATCTTGTATAGGGAAATGTAATGTAATCCATAATGGGAAATAATTTAAAGACAGAAGATACTAGTTGGGAAAGGAAAAATGCTTTACTGAGGAGGGTCAGTTTGGGGGTCAGTATTTTCTGATATTTTATTCCCTCCATGGGCTCAGTTATGGAGCAGAATGTTTTACATAATAGAATGTTGGACTTCCTTCTTGGTTGTTGATATTCCACTTGTGTATGCTCAGAGCACGTCAACGATGACAGCTGCTTATTCCTTCAACACACAGATTTTGATTATGTCTTGTTTTATGGTTGGTGTTTGGTTTTCACAGGGAATGTTTTCCCACCCAGAAGACAACAAATGTTTGACTGRCCCAGTAATTGTTCTTTCCTATATTTCCTTTGGGCTCTTGTTCATCTAGTTGGATCTGAGTTGTTTTAAACATAATTAGGCCATCATAAATCACTCTGGGTGAGTTTGCATGTGACATCACCAAGGAGACCCAATGGGACGATTAGAGTATTTTTTTGGACAAAGTATTTGTAGCTATGTTAACTACTTTATCATGGAAATAAAGTTTGTAAACAGTAGTCTTTGCAGAGTGACAAGTTAAAATATATTGCACCCTGATAGAGCTGTTCAGTAAATTAGATTTTCATAGTGCTAATTGAATTTGTCACAAAGCTGGTGAATGTTAGCTAAAGAAAGAGCAATATATTTTATTTTATTGAGCACATCTCAGAGTGCTTGTAATATAGCAGGGCCACCACACTTTCTGGGCAGTCTATCAAGTAGGATGTTGTAATGATTTGCATSACTACTATAGTGGATGGAAAAATGTAGCTCGTGTTTGTAGCTGTTCCATTAGTGTCTTGCACAGTGTGCAGTCCTTTGGTGCTCTTCAGAGAGCTGTGTCATAATCCCAGCATCTTCTGAAGAATTCTGTCTGCTGAAATCGAGTAACTATACATCGTTTAGAACCCGGTGCGTAATTATATGATGAGACAAAGGAAAGATTGAGAAAGGCAGATAACCAATAGAATCCTGAAGTTATCAAAACAGAGCTCCTGCCAAGGACCTTGGAATTCATCTGATTCAGTTGCTGGAAAAATGCCTGAATTCAAAATTATCCTATGAGGACCAAGAAAATGGAGCCAAATTCTGGCACTGTACAGTTTTCTCCCAAAATGGTCATTAATGCTGCAAAAACAGAATAGGGTGAACAACCCTTGGCCCCATGCTTGGCCCCCTACTGTAGGCTCTATCTGCCARAATAAGATGGAATAGATCAAAAATGGGGAGAGAGGGAAGGTTGGAAAAGGAGTGCTTAGAAAAGGAGGGTGGTTGGAAAGGGAAAAACTCACAGCCTGTGCCCCCTGCCAGCACTGGAACACTCAGTTGCAGCTCCACTCACAAAGCACCTGTTGGCAGCTGTTGGAGCAGTTTATAGGTTTTGGGACAGAATCAGGACAGAAAGTCTATGTTCCCTTAGTTGAAATGTGATATAGTTTTATTTTAGTAAAAAAGAAGCAATTCCTGGACAATAATTACAGCAATAAATACACCTGCACASAAATAATGGCAGCTTTTACTTTCATTAAAAACAAATTGCATTCTTTTTAATGAATCTCATTACTACTGATATTAATATCCTTTGGCTGATATCACCTATGTTGTCTTTCTTTTAACCAGAATTGAAAAACAAAACAATGTTACATGGAGTGGGAAGAAAATACAGCAAAACAATAATCATAAATATTTACTTAATAATATCCCTTAAACTCAGTGGCACRAAAGTAAGGATCAGGAACTGTCTGGTGAATTTTATGTTTGGCATTAGAGTGAAATGATAGAAAATAAGGAAAATTGCTTATGTTAAATTAGAACTCTCAGCAAGTATTTTATGTTAGGAACTCAGTTTAAACATTTTAACATCTTCACAAATGTTAATGTGAATTCCCTTTAAATGCATTTAATAAATAATTTTAGCATTACAGTTTACACCCCCCCCCCTTTTATTAGTAACTCCGAAAGTTACTTGTGTTCATGTGCAAAAACTTTTACAGTTCTTTGTTTTTTGTATAAATAGCTTATTATGCATTAGGAAAAATATATAACAGTTATCAATTATATGTGTATTCAATATGTAAAGTATATCAAACAAAATAAACTATTATTTTTAAATGTATTTGTTGTAGTCTGAGCTAAAAGCTCTATTGCATTTATTGGCTTCATGTCCTTTGACTATAATGAGAATCCTCCCTTTGCTAATGCCCTGGATCAGTTTAAAAGGCTTACTTAGCAGGTACCTGTGTTGCTCAGAAGGTTTGAAAAAAGTTGAAATAGAAAGTATATAATATTTTGTAATTTAATGCTCTCTGATATAAATTTTAAACCACTCACCAGTTTTCTTTTTCTACCTGAAACACTAAACTTATTACTTAAAAAATAATTGAAATATGGAACTTTCAGCCTCCCATAGATTTATATTCAATAATGAAAAGGAGCTCAAGTTTCTGATACTACAGTGTATGCCACTCAGGCAGAAGCTGATTCTTGCAGGAAGCCCACCGAGAACTTTTCTCCATCAAGTCTGTCAAAGAATAGGGCCAAATACAAATTCCATTTATTCAATAGTTTTTCTGTGGATTATTTTGAAATGTGATTTTTCTCTTTGTGTAAATTTCTATACCTTTCTTAGAAAAAGAAAGTAGTTGAGTAGCAAGTATCAAAGTGTCTTAGGTATTAGAGACTGTTAATTTTAGTGACACCTATGCTCAGATATGTTCTGTGCCATTAGAAGACAGGATCTGGGTCTTAGGACAGTGACATCTGAAATAGGAGAGCATCTATTGGAAYGTAAGCATGTATGGTATACATGAAGAAAGGAATTTGCAGGTATTTTAACTTTTCCTGAATCAAGGTTTTTAGAAACTTAGGYCCAAATCACCAAAAGTCACATCTGATATTACAAAATTTCTGTAATTRTTTTTGCAATAATCATAAATAAATCAAATACATTCATTCAAGCATTGTAATAAGTATAGTCTTCATAACCTGTTTCTGCATGATACAGGATTAAATTTATTATGCTGGGTAGAAAGTGTAGGTGAATGTTCTAGGGCTCCTAATAAACCAAGGCACAGTAATTTCAAAAACATTGTCATTATTATCTAGGACATGTATATATGTATTTTCTTGGCTTTTCAAAACTCTGTAAGATTTTTTTAGTAGTTTTTATTATGCCTGCAGATTGACAGTTCTCTAAAATACACTTTTACTGAGGTCCTGATAAATACATCTCAATTGTATTGTTTGCTCTTTAGAATGAGGCTGATATGTGAAATGGATAGTAGAGTAGGCAAGCCTAGAAAATTTAACTAGAAAGTTTTGCCTGGATTTTGTGTGGACTTTTCATGAGGTGTCAGGTGGGTGGAAAAATCAACAGAACCAGCTTTGAAGGTGGTGTTGACAGGTGTGTTTGGGACCTCCCAGATCTCTCTGACATTGGCATTGCCCCCCTGAGATTCACACTCCCTCTTCAGGGACCTGGGAAGTCCCCAGCACGTGAATGAAGCGCTAATGATGAGCAGTGGAGCAGGAGGGGAAAAGCCAGGACTATACATCAGCATCAGCACAGGGCAGGACAGAATGAAGAACCAGAGAGGCTGCAGCTCAGATACTGAGGAATCAGCTGTCATTTTAATATCAAGCTCATTTGTGCTGCCAGCATTGTCCCAAAATCCTTAGAAATTATTCTTGTATGACAAAAAAGCAAGTACCAACCTGAACTCCCTTCCTTTGTCACTCTCAGCAGGACTTCATGTATTTATTTATGATGCCAGTCCAATGTTCCCACTGTTCTTAAGTCAGAAAACAGCAAAAACTGAGATTAAATTGATTGCATATAGCTGAAGTCCTCAATTTCCCCACTAATGAACCACTAGCACCGTTTATTTTCAAAAAGCCCAATGTCTTATATACACTACAGAAAAGTATCTTTAATATATAAAGTGTATAAGAACTGTAGCATCAATATGTTTGGGGTTTTACTTTTCAAATTTCAGAAACTATTGGAGTCAATGAAACTTAAACTCTTATCTGTACAAATGCTTATTAGGTCTTTCTTTATTATTCTTTTATAGGTCTTGTAGAAATTTGCCTGATGCATCCCCTTGATGTAGTGAAAACAAGGTAAGATCATGCTTGAACAGGTTTTGTTGACACTGGAAGATTTCCAAATTACAAGCTGTCAGAAAATAAAATCCTAGAACTTCTCCAACTAAGATAACTTTTGCCTTTAATGACATTTATATTTACTTACCTTTATCTACAGTATTTGACAGATGGAATTTGAGTAGCATGGCACATTTCTGATTCGAGGTCATCTAAAGGTGTTAAATCTGCTTGTGACATGTATTTTTACTCTTGTAACACAATGCTATGACATGGAAATGGCTAAAGCTAAATTCACTTACTATATGTGATATCTGCACTAATGCTTTTATGTATAATTAGGAAATACCATATTGCCTCAAAAATAATTTTCAGGGTTTTTTTTATAAAAATAATAAAAGATTATTCTCTTTGTAAGCTAAATAACTTTATGATTTTATCTTTTTAAAGATCTTTTCGTCTGTATTCTGTTTTCTGAATATTTGTTCTTATATGAGTATAAATGAAAAAATTACCTTGAACATTTGCTCAGGTTTGGTGTCTTTAAGGTTGATTGCTGAAATGGAAAAAGTATAGTTGTGTTTCTGGTTTCTGGAATATCCTATTATTTTTTATGCTTTTTAGTTTTTAGATAAATTTACAAGTGTTACTGTGCATGAAAAGCAAGTCAGAATGAGATACATACTGTTAGAAGGAGAAAACTATTCATGCCATGTGTGTTATGCAGTGCCAGTAATTACCATATACTGCTCCTGAAGCTCTATCTAGATCCCAATTATGTAGATAGAAAATCTTCAGTAGGAGACTAATCAGCCCCAAACAAATGATGAGGACAGCTGTGGTCTCTGGAATATGCTTCAAGTTATCAACTGTGACTTCATATTCTAGTTCCAGTCAGCCAATGTGTGAGCTTTTTGTGGATGCATTTTGGCTTCTGTTGAAGTCACATTCTGTTCTTTGTCTGAGATGAGACCTTGAGATGCCTTTTGTTTGCAGCAGGAAGCCTTCTTCTGTCTGTGGTCATTGCCCAACACCAGGAGACAAGCTCCAACCTCATTAACTGCTGCTGAAGTGCTGCAGGTTCTCCTCAGAGCTTGGAGTTTGCTCAAGCAATTCTGCTGTATCCCTTTGTAATGTGGAATGTGTTGATTCCTATAGACACAAGGTGCCTGGTAATTTTGAGGGTTCTCTTTGCCCCTCCAAATGCTACTGAAACAATGCTATTAAGACAAGACTTACATAAGAAGATTGAAATTAAAGACTCAGAAGCAGCTGTGTACAAGCAAAACAAATACAAGACCAAATTTAAAAGAAAAAGTTTGTCTTGCTCTGCTGTCAAGTGCTCCCCACAAGATGTGTTTTAGTGACTTGATTTTGGCAAGTTGTGCTATAACTCAAACTTTGGTTTTATCTTTTCCCATCTTCCTCTTTGTACTGAACTGTCATGTTCTTTTGTAGTATAAATGTAGATCATTCATAATTTAGTATAAGCCACATATCATAATGTATCAGAACATGCATTAATTGTGCATTGATACTGGCAGTCAACAGACATACTTTCAATTTTCTGATAGAAACCACACAGTTGACTCTCAGAACACAAGGACAGATGCCCTGCCCTCATTTCTTGTTGAAATTTAACTGAGTTTTACACACTTTTAGTGTTGAAAAGCCTTTTCAGTCTGAGCTCCAGAAATGTAAAGCATTCAAAAGTCTATGGGGATGTTTGTGAAGCTGTAACAATCCTTAAAAAGACAATAAAAAATGGGAAAAATTGGGAAACCTTTAATGTGAAATGTGAATCCAGAAACAGTGGAATTTTTCGAAAGAAGCAGGAAAAAGGAAAGAACAGTAGCTGTGCAGAAGAATCAATTATAGATCAGAGTTAAATTGAGAGGCTGAATCAAATAAAGAATCCATGAAACCAATTTCTTCATTTGAAGAACCTTCCATTGAGTTAACTCTTCCACTSAGTTAGCTGCAGCTCTTTGCAGAAATGGGTAACAACCATGTGCTGTTTTTTCTAGTTTGTTGATGCAGATGTATTCAGAGATATTACACAGATTTTGCAGTAACTTTTCTGCAGATCTCAGCAGATGGTAGTAGTTGAAAATACTTACATTTTGAAAGCAAATGACAAAACCAAGAATAGACTATCCTTTGATCTCATCCATCATTGTACTGTGTTCCTAACATCATGCTTCTTTCTTTCATTTTGTAACAGTCCCAATTTACTGTAGCAGATTAATTCTTTGATGGCCTTGAAAGTTCAAATGAAACATGGGTTTTAATTCTGAGCTTTGGACATAGAATATCTTCTAATACATTTTCATTGACTTYATTCCTTTCTGGCAGTGCCTCTAAGTACTGTTGTGTACTTAATCTTTTCCAACATGTCATTGATAATCTGCCATTTCCTAATCCCTTCCCGCTATTATAGTTTTGGTGATTGGTTTAGGGTTTTCTTCCTTTTGCTTAGGTGAAATGATATATGTAAGCACYGTATGTTGTTTAATTTTTATGGTGTTTTGAGTTTCCTGCCATTTTTTTTCTAGAAGTATGTTTGGTGAAGAGGGTCCTGTGGCCATTTCAAATTATTGGAATCTCATTGATCTAAGTTACTGCTTTGAAAGAGTTTAAGGAGGATGTCAGAGGCTCACATCTAGTGGATGGTGGTTTAGTATCTTTGCTTCATTGATATTTTGTGCATGTATATGTTTTTAATAAAAAATTGGAGAAAATAAAGTTTCTGTCAAAAATTATTTTGAAACCCTGGAAATGGTTTGGCTCCTTCATAACATTTTGCAATATCTTTTCTGTGTTTAGCAATTTTCTATTATTTTACAGTAACAATGCTAGATTTGTTTATCTGCTCACATCAAGGGAGGAACAGTATATAAGTACATGCTTATAAACCGTAGAGAATCCAAATGCTTAATGAAGTGTTTTTTCCTAAGTGTACATCTGAAAATAATTTTATTTTTTTCTCTGCTAGAACACCAAAGATCACTACTCTAAGAAATTCCTGTTAGTTAGATATATTACGATAACTATGATCCATTGTGTTAGCTTTATTAATCCMACTTATTCTTTGAAATGAAGCTCTTTTCTCAAAGCAAGAAATATTGGAATAGTTTATGATGAGATATTAAAAAAAAAGATGTGCTGAATTTTTAATGTTGCTGTAGAACACTCTCAATTAGCTATTTTATATATCAGTTACCTTTATGATTAATTTAGCCATTAAATAAAGTACTGAATCTCTGCTTTTCTGCTCCTAAATACAGAGTCTGGTAAGTTTTCATGTGTCCACCCAGGTATGAGAAGTGACCGCAGTAGCCAGAGCTTTTCGGTGCAGATAGAATCGAGACATAGAAGGTCTGCTTTTTAATTAAGAAGTCTAGATGATCTTTCTCTGCTAGAAAGTGAGGGAGGAGAAAAGTGTCTTAGCCTGGGTAAAGGATTGCTTACTTTGTACCTTTTTTGTCTCTTAAGTGTAATGCAGGCTGTAATGTCRTTTTCATCCATCAGACTTTCAAAGGATGATAAAATTACATACTAGATCATGATACATAGRACAAGACATTGCCAAATATATTACTTWAAAATTAAAAATAGTAAAGTGCTGTTCCAGGTAGAGTTGGTGAGAAAAAGGGAGAGAATTACAGGGARCTGTGTAAAGTCCCTGTAAGCTAGYTGTGTTTGAGGAATCTATCAGGCAAGCCTGACTGATARCAGGAGGATGTTACTGTGGTCTCTCTGACACTTCTAGGTTATGTTCTGAGATAATCTGAATTTTCAGGGAAAAAGAACTTTTTTTTTTTTCATTTTCCTACTACTGGGTTGCTGGCATAAAAATGACATTTTCAGGAACTCTGTAACTCCRAACTGCATGTACTAACACAGACTTTTCTTTGCTGTTACATTTTAACACCTCAAAAACTGCACGCAACCAGTGGTCATATTGGAAATTTAGAAATGCAAGTAGAAATAAAATTTTAGCTGATATTTCCTCAGGTTTTATGTTGATTCCCTTTGTATGTTCTTTGTCTTTGATTATCACCAGTACTTATAGAGCTGAATTGTAGTGACTCCATTGTTCTTGAAAAAAAATTTTAAAGTTGCCTGTGAAACTATTCATACAGACTGTGAAACATCTACTGGAGTAGAAATAGTCATTTTGGATATGACTTGGTGTTGTGTAGTTAGGAAATGGAAACCTACTGAGTAATTTTTTTTAGCAGTTGTCTACATGACAATTTAATAGAAAACACMAATGAAGAAATATATTACTGTTTTCAAATAATAGATAAAAAATAACAGCACATCATCAAAACSTTTAAATGCATAACATCTGAAAAGAAAATGTGTCTGAAATTCCTGTGAACAGAAAAAATGTTATGTGAGTTAGATAAATCGTTTCTTTCTTTGTTCCATTCTGGCAGTAATTTGACATCCCTATATGTTTTGGGAAAAATATTTGCAAGAAAGATGGTTTGTCTCATRTCACAATAATGCCATATTGTCCTCTAGTTCTGCGTTGACTTCAATGGAGATAGATGCATTCATACCACTTGAGTATTTAGAGGTTTTTTTATTACCAGACAATTTACTCAAAGAGTGGTAAATATTATGCCAAATACCCTCTAAAAGACTTGGAGAAAGTCTAGTATTCTATTTTATCAGTAGAATCAGCAGGGTAACCTTTCTCYTAACAATTTAAACATATATTCAATGGGCAGTTTTTTAATAAGTCTTTGGTTAACACAAATAATGACAATTCTATTCAATTTTTTTTCTCTATAKTTAAGCAATCTTTTCTATTTTCTGATATAGTTTTGCCATCACAACACAGTCTCACATTGGGATGAGTGTGCMGTTTCAAAATCATTGCATAAGGGAGACATTTTTTCAAAAGATTTTACTAGAGTTTATGAGGAGAATAAGTTACTAATTACAGCTTGTTTTCATGATCAACCTATCCARTGCCCCAGTTTTTTTCTAAAAGCTGTTTGTCA